AACGCCGCGCCGCCGCCGCCGCGGCCGTCGCCGCCATGGCCGACGACGCCTCCGGCGCCAGCGGGGCCGCCGCCGCGGCGCCCGACGCCGCCAACGCCGGGGGCGGCAACGCCTCGGGCGGCACCGAGGAGCTGTGGTGGGCGGAGCGCGTGCTGTGCGAAGTGCAGGCCGAGCACCCGGGCGAGCTGGTGCGCACCGGCAGCCCCTACTTCCTGTGCTCCGCGCTGCCCACGCACTGGCGCTCCAACAAGACGCTGCCCGTCGCCTTCAAGGTGGTGGCCCTGGGCGACGTGCTCGACGGCACCTTGGTGACGGTGCGCGCGGGCAACGACGAGAACTTTTGCGCAGAGTTGAGGAACAGCACCGCCGTCATGAAGAACCAGGTGGCCAAGTTCAACGACCTGCGCTTCGTCGGCCGCAGCGGCAGAGGTGAGTGGCGAGCAAGTGATGCTCGTAGGCTTAAGGGGTGGGGCTCTCCCTTTTAACTACCATTCGTCCCATGAATGTGGTGATTATTGGCGTCACCATTTTCCCACTTATAGAACTCAAGCTACAGTATGAGGGGTTTTATGATATTTTTGTAACTTTTGGGATTTGAGGAAAAAATCTTCGTCTGATAACGTGTCTATTGTATGTTTCCATATGAAGCTGTTATTTAGATGCCTCTAAAGAACAGCTTCTTTAAATAAATGGATGTTTGGCTGCTAAGCCTCTTGCCATATTTTGCATATTTCCTGCATTATGATATGCAGTCATTTACAGAAAAATGTAACTTCGCAATTTGATGCGAGGAAATAGCTAGATATTAAAAAATAATTAGCGATTTTTATTTGAATGAGCAAATCAAATCAAATAATATTTAACTACTACAATTTCCTAAAAATTGTTTACCTTTATACCAAATTAAAACATTATCACTCACAAAAATCAAACATTCTCTTCATAATTAAAAAAAAAATTAATTCTTAAAAAAAGGTTGAAAGAATCCAGTATTATAAACCTTCCCATCACCGTAAGACTGGGATCTCTCAGTATTGAAAAACAAGATAAATCTTATGTTCCCAACTTTCATGTAGTTTACATCGTTTTGATAGTCACTAACAAATTTCTCTTGATCGACTTAGTGGAAATCAGAATCTGTCTCGCGGGTTAAAACGTCACTCAGGAGCTACTAAAATTATAACTTGATCAGTAAGTAGGATGAGCTGAATCTATTTCAAGAGGCAACGGCAAAATTATTGTATTGAGCACATTTATAATTCAAAAACCGTCATTTGGAAAGTGGAGATTTGTCTATGCTTTCGTGCGGTTGTTCGAAGTTTTCAACAAAGCCTATGGTTTCATTTAATATACAAAATTTTATTCTACAGAGAATAATTTACATATCTTGAATGAATTGAAGTAATTACTTAGTTTCTCATTTGATACCGTCAATATTTCTATTTCAAATCGTAACTGTTGCGAAGCTTCAAATCTGAACAAAATAGCATGTTGCATTTCAAACAAATATCGTTTAAACACATTTTGTGATGAAATATTGTTTTTTAAGCCAATTTACATAGTTTACTTTATGTTTCTCTAAATAGCTCTTTTATTCCCTAAAACTGTTAATTCAAATGATAAAAAAGAATTATGATACCTCTTGTTGCTACCAATGAATTCATTTTACAGAATATCATAAAATCATGTAAAACAATGAAAAGTAAAAACACAACTACTTTTGGTAATTCCTCCAAAATAATAATAACAACTTTTAAAAATAAATAAAATATTTCACTGAAACATATTATTTCATTGTTAAGTGCATATGTTATTACTGATGTACTCGGTTCATAAGGTCTTACAGAATCCATTTCAGAAGTTCGCGTGAAAATGAAAAGAAATTACTTCATGGACGAATTTCATTACTAATTACACGGACTTATTCATTACTAATAAATAAAATATTTAATTATACCAAAAAAAATAAGTGGTTCACTCTTGAAAAACAAAATTTTAAAATTCGTCGTAGAAATTCAACACTAGCTTGTACAGCGCTTCCTAATTCCAACAGGTGGTTTGCAAATTAAAAGTTCGGAGATGGTTCTTAGAAAATTCTGCATCCATTTCAGACATACGAAAAACAAATTTGTAACAAGTAAATATGCACACCATTGTAGAATTGTGTAAAGCGTGTCTCATTGTAGATGAAAAGTACGAAAAAATAATTCCAAACGAGAGGTTAACGCCAACGCACTTCCAAATGCCAAACTATTATTTAAGAAAAATTGATCAGAACCAATTGCGTTAGGATTTGTAGCTCAGTGTTTACATTATTTTTCTGAAAAAATAATTATTATTATTTAGATTATTCATAATTTTGTTAACAGCAGTTATAATGTACAATAATATTTAATGAGCGTATAAAAATAATTTTGCTAGTTTACGTATCTTACGTAACAAAATTTAAAATATACTTGTATTTTGTAATATATTCCCTAAAGGAACAAGATCACCAGACTTCTATTTTTAAATCATTCAGGTCACTATTTTTCTGTTGATATTTTCTGTCACAAAAACAATTATCCAAAATGAGAAACTCTTTATACGTATCTCTTTGTGACAGAAATCTGCCGTTGTCCATCAGTTATACCTTCCACTAAACATACCTTACTCAATGTGACAATGTGACAATCGACTCTTGTAAACTTATTAGGACGATCTAATATTCACGATGATACCTCGGGGTCCATGTGCTTACTAAAAAACTACACTGAACAGCAGTCGGAATTTTGTTTCGCGAGAAGGTCGGGACATTTCCATTCAAAACCCACGTCTCTGAGAATTTTTAACATAATATTCATTGAAACTAATAAGGAACATTTTCAGACACGAAGAACATAATTTTCTTATAATATGTATTCAAATTTGAAATGAAAAGTTAGTTCTTATGGGGTCCGTATCCGTCAAGTGAGTAGCAACATATCACACAATAGTAGGCTTGAATATTTATAATTTCTAGGAGATACCTAAGCTTTCTTGTCATTCTCCGCCTTTTACCTGAGCTGGCCTACACATTTTGCGCTAAGCATGGAGTTGAAGCAAACAACTTAACACTAGCTGGAGGCACTGAACTCAACATATTTCGCTATCGCACTTTCTAAATACAGAAATTGCATTGTGTACCTTATCTTTAGCACCGACTAAGATATGTCAAGTTGTAAACAATTTGTTTCAAAGTACAAGAACGATAACAAATCAATGCATATGGTTGTAATTATTGATTATATACCCGGGTAATATATATTATAGTAATTATGTGTTACCGAAAATGTATGTGGTGAGGTTATCTCTACCGACACTCACATTAATTTTGAGGTAGAAAATATTAGAACTTCAAGTTAATTCTTTTTCTATTTCATGAAATTTTTGAAGGTCCATATCCTTTTGAAAATTTACTGTTAAATTACTATTTTAAACCTATAAAGCTACAACCTAAGATAAATAGTGAGTTTCTAAATCTATAACATTTATTTTTAGAGAAACATATCAACATTAAAAGCATTGAGCATTTTCAATATTGGTGAATCATAATGAAATAAATTAAGAAATGATACAGAAAGCAGTAAATTACGTTAATAATACTATTAAATTACAATAAATTTTCGAAAGCGACACAATATTTTCATTTCTTCTTTCAATGGTATCAAAATTCTTGAGACTAAACAGAAACATTTTGAAAAAAATTAAAGAAGTATCCTGAATATTCTAAACTTCAAGAAGTGCGTCCCAAGAGGCAAAATTTGAACATCTATACGTTTTAAAACTAAATTCAAACGGGGGCAATAAATTCACACTTGCATTACTTAAAGCTTGTTTCAATAGTGTACCGTGTCTTAATGTCTGAAAATAGTTTACTCTCTTTGAAAAATATAATTTAGAGAAAATTAAGATCATAAATCTAGTACATTTCTCTATAATGATGTAAGTATCTCGAGACAAAATAAGAGATGTAGTAGTAATTTCTCAATGGTTGGAATAATGTAATACAATTATTAAAGTAATTATTATTTTTGTAATTCTTAGATGTAATATCTTTAAAAAATCACGCCATCAAAACTCGAAAATTTGCGTGGCCTATTTCAACGGGATCAAAGTACGTATTGCTAAGACTCATTCTCATTTACTGATAAAAATACTTGCAATAAATAATAAGAAAAATTATTGAAAACCAGAGCAATTTTAACAGTTAATTTATCTAATCTGATTCCATCTGCAACTCACTTCTTTCCAGAAATGTTTCGCAAATATATAGTAAATTTGAAATATACTGAAACTGTTGAATGTATTTTATTTCTCTCTTTTAGTGCAAATAATTAAAAAAATAAATGTTGATTTAGTACAATCAAATATTTTAATTGCAAAAATAAGATTGCGAGCTGGAATAGGATGTTTTCAAAAAAATATTTTTTCCTTGGCTTGAAGAATTTCAAAATCACTGAAACTAATATATTTTTTAAAAAAGAAAACTGCGAAAAATTAAAGATAACTCGCAATTACAACTATATAAACAAAAAATTAAATTAATATCACTGACTCCGGCTGAAGAAGTATTTGTTGTGACACATTTTGTTGTGTTACGTGTTGTTGTGCTCTCCAACTCTGGAGAAAAAAATTGTCTCAAACTTAATAGATAGAACGCTCCCAAATTAAATTCAGATACAATTTTCAAGAGGAAGGGGGTCAGCTAGGGCAATTTCCACTAGGTGTCCATCTTACCCCAGGGTACCCCAAAATTTCTTTCTTAAACAAATGTAAAAAATGATATAACTTCTAAATCAAATTAACCACGATAAGTTACTAGTGAATTACCCGGGCTTCTTTATATCCAATCCTTGTGAAAGAGGAAAAAGAAAATGATTATGTAATCTATTGTGTTTAATAGTAATTTTTAATGTAATCAGTTCATATTTCAATAAAATACTATTTATTTTTTAATTTAATTTTACAGTACATAGCTACAACATAAAAAAAGTATCTTACGCACCGCTACCGACCTCTGGTGGAATACATTAGGAACCAATTTGCTCCAAATGATAGGCGAAAAATAATAATTGGGGTGCATCTATGAACATATTTTTAAAATTACTTATTTTCCGCATCTGTGTTTATTAATCTTTACTAAACTTCGGCAGGACACTGCGACAATCCTGAAGAAGACATCACTTTTTATTGTATTGGCAAGATTACATTACTTTTTTGTGGCATCAATGTCAGCTAAATGTTGAATTCACTTTTATTAGTATAAATTTTGTCTTGCATGAAGAGATGAATTATGTTTAATCTATTTTAAGATACGGTGTAAGTGCTTCAATCAAAGAAATTTCCCTAGAATAGTACTAGTACAAACTTTCTTCAATAAAAATATATTGAAAAGAATTTTTATAGAACTGTAGTTTAATCACAATTAACTTTAATACAAATACTATGTATAAATACACACATACCCGGTGAACACAACTAGCGAGCTCGCTTTGCCGCTATGCAGGATTTGATTCGCGGAGGCAAACTGAGCTGTTGCGTTTTATTGTCATATCCTACTAATCCACATAGCTGCAAGATAAGTTGGTTGCATTTCGCTGGTATAGGAATGTTCTATTCATTAATTGTAGGAGGTTGGAATAGAGAACTTCATAATAAAGAATACCGTATCAAGCATAATTGTTTAGTTAGAATATCACACTTATACTCTTCTAGTTAATGTATGTTTTATTTATCACCTCTGAGCCTAAAATATCTAGCCATTAATATACAGAGAAGTTGTTTCTGGGATGCAGAATGCTTGGAGAACTTGATTTGAGACTCCAATTAGTAATGTTAGATTTAAAAAAAATATTATTATATTGACATATGTCCATCTTGCAACGAACTTCTTGAAGATGTTTTTTATTAAAAATGATTCCGACGACAAAAGTAACTATTTCGGGTGCATATACTACATTTTGCACTTTACTTGGAAATAAATAATTTTTTAAATTAATTTTAAGTGAATGATGGTGAAGAGAAGCGACACAAAGAAAGATTTTATTTTAGCTTTCATCTGTTTCAGTGTAATATCCAACAGTTTGGGAAATTGACATAGTTTTTTATTATAAATTTGCTTTGTTTAGTTCCAACTTATTTTAAAATGTATCACTGATTTTGTAATACTCAAAGTTTTGAATATTTCTTTACGAATCTAAGAAAGAATCTTGATCATGCCAAGAGTTCAAAATATTGTACGCCTGACAGCTTAAAATTATGAACTCAATTTATCTTTTTTGTAAATTTGTTTCTGAATTAATATTAATTCTAGTATTTTCTCAAATATGTATTGTTCTAATAATAACTTTAAATCCAAATCTTCGGATGCAAAACAATATTTTTTACCGGTGACTGAAGTAATCGTTCCAACCAAATCAGTAATAACTGATGATGTACACAATATTTTACTGTTTTGACGTTAAATAAATAAGTAGTAATTAATAATGTCTCAATATACGATGTTAACGTTATTTTACAACCATCCTTGATATTATACATTCTGTCGCTGAATATTGCACTTGACCTTTACGAGTCCTCAATCAAAACTTCAATTTGGAGACTCATTGATTGATTAGTGATTGCAAGCGCGTCAACTGCTAAGGTCATTATCTCCAGAAGTGTAGTGCGTTTTTTTATCGTGGGATGTAGCGACGATCTTTCCTCCCTGGATGATGAGATCAATTGGGAGACCTGAAGCGTTGAATATAGAGAGCGATCGATCTTAGAGCATTTTAGTCGATTGAGAATTCCCGACTTCATTCGCAAACTGTCCAGATCAAATGAAAAAACGTGTTTGTAGTATTTCTCAAGCTAGAAACGTTTCTCACCACGAAACCTCACTATACTCATCACTCGAGATTCAATATCTGGATGGTTGTTAATTCATAGGAGTCTCCATGATGTTTAACTAACAGGAAGCAATGTATACACCAGGCGCTAAGCAAGGCATTAAAAGAATGGTATGGTTTCAGAGATGCTTAGATCATTCAACATGATCCCTTATGTAGCCTTATGTCTGAATTGAGAGTTACTGCCTATACTGAATTCAAATATAATCACATCGGTATTATCGAGCGATTGTTTTGTCACTGGGTAGCTACAAACGTTAAACGAATAAGCCATTCAAACCGCTCATAGAGAAAAAAAAACGTAAAATAATTTTGTCGAAGAGGAAAGGTTGTGAGGCGGTATGAAGTTTTTTAAGAAACTTCTCCCGAAAGAAAATTATGGAGAATGCCCTGTAATTCAAGAAAGTCCCAATTAAATTGTTTCTTCTTACAGTTTCCGCTTCGCAATAGACTTAATTAAGCTAGTTTCGTTTTGTAACAATTCGCAACGAAATTCGGAAAATTGCTTTTGTGCGGCGAAATTTAGATACATGTTACCACAAAGACGTGGAAATTTTAAAATTACAGATTTAAGACTGCTTAAAAGAACTATAGAAGAAGACAATTTACGGAAATCAAACTACAAATTTGGATAATACAAAAGCTACCAAAATGAAAATTTTAATTTTCTCATTTAAATTTTTCAATGTTATTAGACAAAACTCAAGTCCAGCACAAGTACATTGTGATTGCAAGTGTGAAGGAAGTATTAAAATACCCTGGCGTGCACCTCGAATCCGATTATATTTTGTTTGCGTTTAAATCATAGTAACGGTTGAAATGAATATCAATATGCATCACTCGAGAGCAAGCTGGAGCAAGTGGGTGCTTCAGTCCAAATCGGTTTATTTGTAACTTTTAAAATATTCAAAAATTAATGAAAATAATACCCAAGAAATTTTTAAAAGCGTACTTTGCTCTCTAATTGAGAAGAAAGAAAAAGTGAAATCATTTTTAAGAAAATTTTCAAAATGTAAACACAGCCTAAAGTACCTTCAAAATCTAAACAAACGTTTCAAATTCTCAGGGCCTCATGTTTCATCAAAACGATTAGGGATAATCATTTTTAGAGATAATCGTCCAAATGGTTTAGGCGGTAGACGACAGACGGACGGTCCTTTTACGATAAACCAATTTTTTGGTATCAAGAGCCCACAAAACGTGGATTCTGGCTACACAGCGTGTTAGAATATATAATTTACTACCTTCAGAACAAGATGTATCCACTTTTTTGATATCAGGAACAAACAATAAGATTTTCTGACGAAAAATCACCCCTTTTCGCAACACCATTAGAATAATGTATCTTTACTACGTTAGTACGTAGTAGTCGAGATAGAAAAAGGGTTTAATACACATATGGGTCAAATTTCCTCTTGGAGTTAAATTTTTCAAACAAATATCAAATTTATTTCACTTCCGTATGTACTAAAAATGATTTCATCGTTATAAAAAATAATATACTGTAAATGTTATTACTTACACACTTTTTAAATCAATAATTATTTGAAGTTAACATTTCTATGTATAATTATACAGATTGATCTAATCAGTTGTTGTAATTTGAACCTTATGCCTTGTGAACAGAATTGAAAGACCATATCCATGTTCCAGTTATTCAATTGCAGCAATCCTGAAAAATCACAGGCGCTGAACAAAAAGCATCCAAAACATGACGAAGGTTTCGATCAAGCGCTGAGAATGGCGCAACGAATATTTCTCCGGGTTGATTAAATGTGCACGGTCGCCTGGGCCGCGCAGCGAGGAAATTTTATTAAACGCATAAAGAACACCAGTTTTTGCTCGCATTATACCAGATAACCCTTACGGGATCGAAACGCGAACACTACAGTCGCTCTGCAGTGGCAGACAAAACCACAAGGATGGCTTCGGCCACAGTCGCCATTTCTTTTTCTTCTGCCTGATGAGATCTCCGCCTACCCCCTCTCTCCCGGTGGCGAATGCTGATATTTCACGATTCGGGTAACCGCACGGTAATGGGAGATCGGGCTCAAACAAAAATTAATTTCTTTCTGGGGCGTTAGTGTGATCCTGCGGTGCGGTGGCTGAGCTCGCCGTGGCCGCTCATCAGCAAAGAACACGGCGAACTTCCAAACAAAAATCGCAATATCTCATCTTGGGAAGCAGATTACATACGGTGCAAACTTAAACCGGCCGAACGGTGTTTCGATATTGGCCGTGTTGCAGTTAATAGCGGGATTAGTTTCATAATGCGTGGAGTCGCAAGAAATAACATCGATGCTTTACATGGGTTCAGAGTACTACGTTCCGCCGACGGGAAACTGATAAAAAGATGGAAATGGACCGCACAGAGAGCGAATGGGAACTCAAATTTTCTTTTTTTCTTCTTTCAGAGGAAGTCAGCAGATCGATTTCGCATCGGTAGTGCGGTAAAAAGGTCCTAAAATAGGTTTTACCACTATTATATGTAAGGCAGTGGTTCTCAAAGTTGCCTTCGGGTCTTCTTTTGTAATTCCAGCGGACCCTTTCAAGATATCAATGCTCTAGGTAAAATGAAGTTGGAAATCTGCCTCATGAAACAACTGTCTGTTATGGTTTCCTCTAATTGCATTAATGTAAACGCTGCATTATAAATTAAATAATGAGCGATATACAAAGGACAATAAAGAATATATTTAGATCTTGAAAGCTAGTAGAAAAGATGTTGTGAATAACGTTTTAATTGGCTCTACTGAAACAGATGAGATGCTTTGTACAGAACGTGCTTTTCTACGTAAAATGGACTACCACACTATTAAAAGTAATATCTTTGTTAATAAATGTAGGTCTATTAAATTTCATCCAACGAATCTATTCCGTACGTAGGGAAATCCAAAAATGAAATCGAATAGCCACAAGATTGCAGGAAAAATATATATTTTGAAATATGATGAATTGAAAAGTATGCGTTGCACAGGCTCAATTTTTTTTTCAAATTAAATCTAGGAGACCGCGACTTCGTCAATAACTTTGACTCGTTAAAAAAAATATTCTAACTTTCTAACTATTCTCTAAATACTTTAACTTTAGACGCAATTTCGTTTTCTTCGTGAACTGGATCGATTCTTTCTCCTGAGATACGATTAGGGATACGAGCTAAAACTTACTTAGTTGAGAGAATAATCGAAGACTCCCAGAGTTATCTGCGCAAATAACCTGGGGTAACAAATAGAAGCAAAATAATTGACAAATGCTTATAATAATGTATTATAGTAGTAGTGCTCAATGTGGGTTATTATTTGGGATTATTTTTATTTGAAACATTGACGCTCTAAGTCCACTTTCTCCGACTTCGAGAAAATATCGCAAAACATTTAATTCTGAAAAAGACTAACTATTATGGCGAAGTGTTATTATTTTTATAGGTTTAAGATTTGATATACCACTTACTTTTGTTTTCTTTTTTCACTTAACAAGCAGAAATCAGATGGTTGACCTTATTTGTGTCTCAAACTGCGAATTTGACTTTATCCGTTTTGAAACTTCAGCGGGACCACGAATTTCATGATAAATTCTTTCAAAAACGCGTGACGAACAAAACGTTTCCTTATGTACGTCATCGTTTCATTTACTGCCATCTCCTCATCGAACAATATTAAGTAACATGATGCCTCCCTTAAGATTGCATAAATGTATTATTTTTGTCTACCAGCATTATAAACGAACTTTTCTCTTGCAAGAAATCGTTCATAATCGGACATTTTGCGGCACAAATGATGACGTATTAACATTTTACGGCACGAATGATTGCGTTATCACACGTTCAGCCAATCGCAGCGAGAGAATAGGGGGAAGGTAGCGGCAAACTGACCACCATTTTCTCAGATATAAAATATTGTACCTAAGATGTCGCAGGAAAGTTGCTTCGCAAAATTAATTTCAATTCTATTAAAAATTTATAATGTTAAAAAAGTAGCATATTTTTTATTTTTTTATTTTTTATTATCAATTCTGCTAATTTACAATCTGTTCACTTGGAACAATTAGTAAATGGTATACATGATAGAAGTTACTATGAAGAGAATCTAAAGGGTAAGTCTAGTATATGTTCATATTCAAGTAGCATATGCAACTCGTTTATAATGTTACTTTTTTACATTCGTACAAACGTGAAAACTCACTTATAAAGTCGCTCGTTTTCAAAACATGTACTCATGTAATAACACTTAATATTATGAACTAATTACATAAACTATTAACTTGAATGACATATCTATAAACTGGATATCGCCTTCAAACGGAAGCTTAGCTCTGGCGGTTGACCGTTCTCTGTACATCGATCGGATTGGTCCGCGAATTTATATATTTAACGGTGTTCATGAATAAATAGAATACAACGATGAAAACATATGTGATATCCAAACACAAACAAAATTCCTCTGCACTCATGCGAACAATTTGATGCCAAACACTGCTGTAAAATGGTTCAAATGTGTCACTTATTTGGAAAGAAACGTGAACGAAGAGAGGAAACTTCTTAATAATAAACTACATCGTACTACGAAATTTTTCAAAGATAGCTCATAAATTTTTTTTAAATACATTCCTCAATGCAAGCACAAATATTTGCTTAATTTTTCTAGGCACATTTTCTATTTCATACTTACGAGTGATGTTCAGCAGCGTTGCCTTAAGCCTCGCCGGATATCGAGACTCCGTACCTAAAAAAGAAAACTAAAATCAAGATTTTATTAAGACCTTTACCACTTTCTTTATCAGAAATTCATCAGAATGGTTATAATAAAACTGTTTCTCAGAGAATTTGTAGAAATTAATTACGAAATGTAATGCATACTCAGCTTTGCGAAATTGCTTGACTTTTCCAGATATCGACATTACTAATTTCCAATGCGCCTAGCAATTGAAAGAAATTTGTGCAGATTCCTGCTTGAGAGGAGTCCATGGGTTCGTTGGACACTCAGGACTTCCAGAAAAATGCACAAACAACGAACCAGTTTCAATTTTTATTGAAAATTGCAAATATTTGATGGTGTTATTACATTTATTTTCATGCAGTCCTCATTCCGACTGAATTTACACAGTGTGTCACAGCTAATGATACAGCTAATATCATGTGACTGCAAGGGTCTAAGGAAAAAGCTGCTCGCCATTTTCTTTTCACGTGTTGTGTTATGGAACAGCTCTCTTTTTTCGTACATTCCTGTTTTGTAAATAACTGTGGTATTGCATAAATATTAATCTATGTTATTGCAGTATTGGTGAAAATTGTTATTTTTCAAATATTAAATTTATTGCAATATTATAGGAGAATATTACATTTGTTATTTTTGAGCATTTTGTGTGGCTTTGTTCAGCAGCACTTTTGCTAATGCAGTCCATTAGTAGATATCTTAAATTAATAGAATCAGTCGAAAGTGTCAGTTGCGTAACGCATAAAGCGTCCCTTGCACGGTGATACTGCAATATCACACACAGTCTTCGTATTCTGACCTACAGCTATCTGAATTGATTGATTATTTATTTTGTTTCCGGGCTTATCAATTGCTATGCTAATTAGTCCCGTAGGTGTAGTGTAAATCATATCGAGGGAGTTTGTGGTGTTCCTCCGTCATTAGAACTTATAAGCGCTTCGGACCTATTATTCGTTAACCCTAAGAAAAATCCTTATGTAAACAAATACACGAGTGTTAGGACGATTCTCGTGGGTTTACAGTGTGTGATGTACTGTTGTAGGGATCCTGCCGCTGAAGTGAATAATTCTCCGTATAAGACCTAATATATTTGCCATCGTTCGTTAAATTAACCTTGCATGAAAACTATTGCAACAGTTCCGAGGAAGGAGACCATTGTGAACTATCTGCGTATTCCTGTTCTATTACCTTACGAGCTTCTGATACTTCAGCCGGTGAACGTGCAGATCGACGTGGGTCAGGTGCGTAGGACGCGGCTCGCGGGACAATGGCGCCGCGCTGCCAATCGTCCTGCTATTCAGTTCGTTTTAGAATATCTCAGAGTGGGGCTGGCCCTTCAATAATTAAACACAAGTGTGGAAAATTTCTTTCGAGTAGAGAAGAGCACATAGTTTTGAACGTTTTCAATTCGTTATTACATATGAATCGGTCGTTACCGGTGAAGCAAATTCGCAGTGTTCACTGGATTATCCGTATGCGGAAAATATTGACTCCGTAAAGATCTCACTGACAAGGGACAGCTACAAACGCCACAGAAAAAAAGAAAGGGGAAGAAATCTACACATGATGATGTGTATGATTGAAGTATACGATGACTTTCTAGTCAGTGCTGTTCGATCGAAAATACATTCCTTGCATCAAACGGGTGCAGAAAAGTGCAGAAACGAAACTCCAACCCTTATGAAATTGTTGCAGCCTGTGAATTGTAATCAAAAACTTCGGAATTTTAAGCCAACCAATTTATACAAATAATTGACAAAATTGATTCCGCTTCCTGAAGCAGACTGATCTTAAGTAAAGTAGTTGCATTAACATGACATTTACATGCATGACAGCTTTTATTCCATTTGAATTGGGTATGCTACTCGCGTCATTGCAAGTAATGTGCTAGGAGGTGTTCAATCAGAAGTGTTGTGCGGCGCAAAGATTTTTTTAAGTTTGTTTACATAAGGCTTTTTATAGGGGGAACGGATAATACACATTGGTTTGCCGGACGTCCCCTCTCTATCTCTGCCAGTGGAGGACTGTCCCAGTCGGCATATGTTCTAATCTCCGGACTGGTCCCTCTATGTCTTTCGTAAAGTCGAGCGTGTTAGTATACGAGTGTGTGACCGCCATAGGTGACTCAGGGAACATCAGATTCAACAGATGTCACTGCAGTCTATGACCCGGACATCCTAAAGTTCGAATCCCGACGGCGGTAGGATTTTCAACCAATCAATGAATGGAAGAGTGTGTGTGTGTGTGTGTGTGTGAAGGGAGACGAGGAGCGAATGTTGAGGAAGGAAAGGAAATTGCGCGCGGTCCCTAGTCGTTTGTTAAGATTCTCTTCCAATATGTTGGTTTTAATACTACTTAAATAAACTTCGGAAAACGGCTGAACTGAGCAACCGGCCGCTACTGCCGTTGCCCTGAGCCAGCTCAGTCGGTAGCATCTAAAGATTTAAACGAACGTATTAAGAAAATTGGTTAAACATTTAATTTAGCTAGGGAGGACGTGATTATTCCACCACTAAAATGGCGAGTGATCAAGGATTACCACATGCGTTATGGCATTTCTTTCTCCTCCGATACTATAAGACTGGCAAACGATCTTAAAACTCTTAATCGGAAGAACTTTCTAGGCTCTTACCTTTAATGCATGACTTTTGAACATGTTTAGTGATACGAGTATAAGAAAAAATACATGTTAAATACCTTAAAATGTTTCATTCAAGTATGACTATTCCTTCATCTCA